AATCTTGGCCAACTTCAAGTGGTATTTAACCTCTTGCCTCTGTCAAAGAGCCTTCTGCCCCTATCAAAGAGCCTTTTGCATTGCTTGGTGTTGCAGCCAACCCCACTATTTTGTATAACATAATCCTTCCAGTCCATCTCAACAGCAATTAGTCCAGGCGTGTCATGCCTCAGATTATAGAGGAGATATGTAGTAACTGATGCACTCCTCTATCTCTGTAATTGTTATAACTCCTTAATAGTACAAGTTTCAATCCCATTTTTTTATAACAGCAAGTTGTTCCTTGTTATCTATATGCTCTAGAGTGTCTTTCGTTCCTTCAATAAGAATCTTGACCAGTTGTTTGTAACTACCAAGGTCCTTGCTCAAGTCATGTTGAATAAGATATCTGAAACAATTCAGACATTCATTGTAAAATGTCATGACATCTCTCTTGATATCATACATCTTCAACATCAGTTTAGAGAGAATTTATTTTGTTTTCCCATCTTCGTCTTTAGCAGTATACCAAGAAACACCTTCATGCTTCTTACTTGCCTAAAAACTCGTTATTTCTCAACACAAAACATCCAACAATATTTGATATCTTCATATTTAACTCAGTGATGTTTCCTTCAAAAGACTGACTTGTAGTCAATTTCTTAGATTGTTATGTTTGTCTTTCAGTAGACAGGTTTATGTTGGATTGAGAATCACTAATTTAGAGTTTGTGAATTCACGAAGCTCCTTCCTATGTGCTTCATCAGTTTGCACACAAGATGTTACAACATTTTCTGTGACACTCTCCTTCTTTTCAACAGCGAACTCATCAACTATCATATTGATAGATTCTAATGACATTCCAGTTCTGGAGTTGAAAACTCTATAAGTTCTACTTTTTAAGAAGTAACGCATAAAAACACCTTCATCCCTTATGTAATTATTCTTACCCTTTTGACCTAGGTTGGTCAAGTAGTAACATTTACTTCCAAAAATATGAAAGTAATTGACTCTAGGGTTCATTCCTGTCCATAGCTCATAAGGAGTAGATGAAGTATTTCTCCTCAGAGAAACTATATTATGGACATAACACGCAGTATTCAGAGCTTATGCCCAAAAGTATAAAAGCAAACTCTTAGCTCGAGGCATGACTCTAGATGATTCTAGAATCACCTTGGTTACTTCTTCAACAATTCCCCCTTGCTGAGAGTACTCATAACGAATATTTTTAGAAGCACAAATTTCATAGAATTTTACATTCTCAATATCTTTATCATATTCACTTCTAATTTTCACAATATCATCATTCTTCTCTTTTTGAATACTTTGACATAAGTCCTTGAAGACCTCAAATGGATCTGATTTTTCTCTAAGAAATTTTATCCAAGCATATCTTGAAAAATCATCTATGAGTACATAAGCATACCTCTTACCACACATACTTTCAACATGCATTGGTCATATTAGGTCCATATGAAGAAGTTCTAACCTTCTAGAAATAGTCTGATGCTGCAACATTTTGAGTGACATTACAAATTTAGAGATAAGATCACACTCATCACAGAATAACGCTTCTTCAATCTCTAGCTTTGGCAAGTCTCTAATGGCTCCTTTAGATATGACTTCCTTCATTATTTTGAAATGAAGATGTCCAAGTTTCTCATGCCATGGCTTTAATTCATCCTTACTGGTCTATGAACCTGAGGGAGAATAAGCACTTGATTGATATTTCTTTAGATAATAGTTGTTCTTCGACCTTATAACCTAACTCTTGTTAACCTTTTTCAAATTAGAAGCACCTTTACACATCAGTTTCCCAACTCCTTTGATTTTACTACTAACATTGTCACCAAAACTTGCAGATCTAGTAAACTGAGTCCAATTATTCAGCACTAACTTCTACACTCCAGTCATATGACTAGCACACCAACTGTTAACATTCTTGTTTTCTCCATTTGAGTTTTTTAAGAATGTATGAGTATTGGAGTTTAAACCCATATTATCAGTCCCTTTCTTTTTGCTCACTTTCTCACCCTTAGAATGAATTGAAGATTTTTTATCTCCATATAGTTTATAACAGAAGGGCTTTATATGACAATGCTCACCACACGAATGGCATGTCCAAGTTGATGATTGACTTGTGGACCATGTTTGATCAAGTTTTATAGAATGTTGTAACATGTGATTGGTCATGTTAATTATTTCCTTTCTTTCAGCAGGAAAAGCCTTCACCACAGACACTCCTCTTTGATCATTATCAACTTGATACTCACCTTCTAATTCTCTAGTCTATTTTATCATAGCCACTTCATCCTCCAAATTTTTAAATGAGTCTGACATGTTATTAATCTTGGAATTTAGAAGAGTTACCTCACTTTGAAGATGAGATACAATACATAGAATATTCTTCTTCTCACTTTCCAAATCGACTCTGATCTTTCTCTGATCTTCCTCTGTTTCGACATTTGCTTCACACTTGTCATAAGTATCTTTGTAGGATATATCACGATCTTCATGGAGAACACTATCATCATCAGCTTTTACTTCACCTGCCCATCTTCCAGACAAAGCCACCACAAGTTTTGCAGATTCATCGTTAGCATCATCTTCTGATTCATCATCATCCGACCGGGACACAGAAAAAAAATTTCTTCCTCTTAAGAATAGTGAGACATTCAGGTTTGATCTGACCAAAACCTTCACACTCATAACATTTAATTCCTTTGTTTTGATTGGTCTTTTCTTCAAACATGGTATTCTTCTGAAGATTTTCTTCATTACTGATGTCAGATGAGATGTTCCTGGAATTCGGTCTCCCTCTTCTGTCCAATATTTTTAATACACTATTGAATTATTTCCCAAGTAGAACAATGGTATTAGACAGATCCTCATCAGTAACCAACTCAGCTTGACCTTTATCATCTTCAGCATTGGGTACAAAATCTATGCATTTGTTCTTTTTCTCAATTTTGTCACCAATAGCCAATTCAAATGTTTGAAGTGACCTAATAAGTTCATCAACTCTCATGTTGTTGATGTCTTGAGCTTATTCAATTGATGTGACCTTCAATGCAAATCTCCTAGGCAAGGACCTAAGGATCTTTCTGTCCAGCTTGGCTTATGACATCTTCTCTCCCAATGCACTTTATGCACTAGCAATTTCAAGAATCTTCATCTGATATTCCTGAATTGTTTCATCATCATTCATCTTCAAATTCTCGAATTTTGAAGTGAGAAGTTGAAGTCTTGAAATGGTCACCTTAGAAGTACCTTCATAAGTTTTCTTGAGAATTTCCCAAGCTTCCTTGGCCTTGGTACACATATTAATCAGCCTGAAAACATTTTTGTCTACTTCGTTGAATAAAACATTTAAAGCCTTGAAATTTCCAATAGCTTCTTTATCATCATCTTCATTCAAATCTTCTTCAGGTTTCATGGTTTTAATTCCAGTATCTTTCCCATATTTACCAATATCCTTGACCACAGGATGCTTCCATCATTTCAAAACAGCCTTCTAAGCCTTGTTGTCCATAGCTTTTAGAAAAGATATGATTCTAACTTTCCACCAGTCATAATTTGAACAATCCAACATAGGGTGTTTGTTGTTATATCCTCCTTCTTTCTCCATATTTCCATAAAATATATCCCTGAATCTCACCCAATAACCAGAATAGGGTGCCTGCTCTTGATGTGCGAACAATATCAGAAATTAAGACTGATGTCTTAATAACACACAACGTCATGACAGATGTTATAACATTTGCTGACAGAACAACAACAATAACAACAATGCAGAAATAAAACTTGCAGAAAGTAAAGAACACCGCGATATGTTAACCCAGTTCGGTGCAACTCATCTACTCGGGGGGATACCAAGCCAGGAAGGAAATCTACTAACAGTAGTACTTGTTCAAAGTTAAACTCTCTCGTTTACAACTTCTCGTCTAATCCCTACCCAGTGCAACTTCTACCTAGGCACCTCTTAGATATGAGAAATCACCATCTCACTTCCAATCACCACAGTGATAAACAAACACGCCCAGTCCTAGGGAATGTCTCAAGAAACCAAAACAGGAAGAACACACTTCCAGATTACAAATACTTAGTTTGCTTAAGAGCTTCACTAAGAAAAATACTCAACTCGTGCTTCACAGCTTCGAGGAGAACAATAACTTTACAAGAAAGTAATAATCACTCAACTCAAATGTATCATAGATGCATGAGGATGTACAGAATAAACATGGATAACCTAAGGACTGTCAAACCCTAAACCCTTGTTTTTCACAAGATTTTACAATAAAAGATATGCTTATAAACTAGGTCCTGGATGACTCCTTATATAGGCTTCTGCAGTTGGGCTTGGGTTGGCTTGGATTCTTCAATCAACTTCAATCTTCAGTTGAAAACTCTATGTAGAATATTCTCCATAAAAATAGAAACAATCTTCATAAAAAATTTCCTAAAAAGTATCAATCAATCCTTTTTAGTAACCAATCAAATTTACACTTGTTTCTAACAAAATCCTTGATTGGCCTGCGCCTATAATGAGTACAAAATATTTCATATACTCATATATTCAAATTAAATCTTCAAGGATATCCAAGAGCAGCGCCTGATGCATCAGCCTCAGGGTGTTACAACATCTTCTGTGACATCTGGCTGAAAACTCATAACAGCAAAACTTTTATGACAGTTGATAAAGATTTTGCACCATCTTACTCAACAACCACATAGAACCATATTTAGAACCATGCTTAGCAAAAATTTAACAAACCATTAAAACATGTAACTAACCATTTCAACAACTACTACATTTCTGATTTGGGACCCCTTATTGTCTAGTTGTTATTGTGTCTAACATTATAAATTTTCTTAATATTTCCTGCATTATCATACCTCTTTTTTCCAGGTTATGAGTATGTTTTTGGGAAGAATCATCTTCATTGTCCTCTCAACAAAAACATTTGTCTCATTCGAATCTAAACCACTAACAATAGGATGACTTATTAGCTTGAAATCATTTAACGTAAAGGTGTGTTTGGTGGTAATATCACATCCAACATCAATGCATGCAACATTGGATTTAGGAACACCTGACTCGTGATGTACCATACCTACAACCATTGAATGTGAAAGAAAGAAAGCTAACCAAAAATTACACTTCATATAAGGTTTGATAGGTTTCATAAGCTTCCTTTCGGACGATATCTATATTACCAAAACAAGAAAACCCATAATATGAATCAACGAAAAGAGTTACAAAACACATTATTTGTAATTTAGAACTATTATAATGTTTATGATGTTGAAATACATAATGATAATATGACCAAATGCAATAATTAAATAAGAAAAAAAGCTTTTGTGAGGCTTTACACAAATATGAAATATGTTCTTGAATAAAGTTTTAGAAACGTATTAGGGAAATGCTATTTCCACGTTTATAGGTGCTCCCACACCATCGTGAAAAGTCCATATTATCCCTCTTGACGAACCTATTTTCACCATTCCTCGGTCCAAATTGAAGAGTTGTCCTTATTATGTAAAATATCAATTTAGAGATGTATCTCTGTATGTGTAAAAAGTGCTTCTGAAGATGCATCTCCGTAAATACCATTTATTCAAAAGTAAGTTGGTGGTTCGAAGATGCATCTCTGAACGCTATTGGTTCATATTATGCGCCAGACCCTTCCTTCTTCCTCCTTCTTTATTTTCTCAAAAAGTTCTAAAAAAAAGTCATTTGAACTCTGCAACGATTTTACTTCTGCATTCATTCAATCAATCTTATATCTTTGGAGCTCTTTGCAGCATCTCATAACATCTACCAATCAATTTATTTTGGAATTTTTTTCAAATTTTCTTTTCTTTTTATGTTTTGATTTTTAGTTAGTTGTTTATGATACATTAGTTATTTTAGGTACATTAGGTAGTAGTGTAAACAAAATCGATAGTCTATTAGAACATGTAATGAGGATTTTTTGGTATGTTAGGGGGAAAAATGGGTCTGCCATGGGAGCTGAAAATTGCAGGTTTGTCTGGAGATGCATCTCTAAATTTTCTCTGAAATGTTTCATGAGATGCATCTTCTGATTTGGTTGAGTCAAAAAATTGGGACATTTAATGGACATGTTATTCAAAAATGTTTCTATTTATATCGCATGTGCAATGGCTAGCAACAATGAAGGTCATATTAGGGAAGAGCGGGTGTCCCAAACCACGTCGGTATGACGTGAAAGGGACATAGCTAGGACCATGAGGCCAAGAGTTACTGATGACTCGTTTGTTGCTTTATCTTCTTGATAACCCCGGTCGTTAGGTTCTTGCATCTAACTCTCTTAGACATCTTGAGCATATGATGCAGCAGAACCTAGGGATCTTAAGGCCCATGTTGACCCTGAAGCCCGGGAGAAAGCCCAGGAGGAAGCCCCATTATAAATTATTTAAGAGGGTCATATGACACCTCCTTACTTTATAATTACACAGAGCATGTTACTAGGAATGTATGAAATGGAGAGGTATCTTTCTTTTCTTTTACGATACATATACATATGTTGTCAACTAATTAAATCTATATGATTATGTTTTCTTTTTTCAGAAGCATGATTGTTTAAAAATTATTAACCATGACAATAAGATATTGCAGTTTCCATAACTCTCTAGTTGTTGGTTCAGAGATGTTATCCTTTATTCCGGTCTTTCCGATTTATGCTCATCTATATATGTGACCATAAACCAAGGCATGCATGCAGTTTTTGCAGAGAGGAGACACTCAGAGACGTCATCTTTTCACTTACCTATAGGCGAGATGGCCATCACTTTACATGATGTCTCATGCCTACTGCATCTTCCCATCAGAGGGAGATTATTGGACCACGGGAGGATCGGGCGAGAGGAAGGGGTTTATATGATGGTCAGATTATTGGGGACTTACCCCGATAAGGCGTCAGAGGAGACAGCTCGCACTAGAGGTTCTCATGCACGATTTATCTTTTTGGAAAAACTTTATAGGGATCATGTGAGTAAGGCTAAGGATGTCGAGGGTGTTTGTAAGCAGGTTGAGTACCACCAACATTGTGCATTGAGGTGTTACTTCTTGTTTTTAGTTGGAATGTCCATGTTTGTGGATAAAAGTGTTACATATGTCGATGTGGTATACCTCAAGTACTTTACAGACATGACTGTAATTCACGAGTACAACTGGGGGGCCTCCTTTTTGGTCTACATGTGCTTAAAGTTGGGTGAGAGTTATCTTTAGAAGACAAAGCACATGATGGGGTGTTGCACGTTGTTTATGGTAAGTTCTTGTTACTAATATTTTCATAATTCATTTCTTATACATGTTATAAATATTGTATTTGAAACATTTTCAGGGATGGATCATCTCCCACTTCCCTTACATGATTGGGTGGGTAGTTGCGGTATAATACAATAAGGAATGGCCTCGTGCAGCTGCTTTTGTTTCGTACAAAGGTAATAGTGGTGTTGAGTCATTTAGAGTCTCTCTTGACTGTATGGTATTAGATGACGTTAGCTTCTGCCATACGAGGGTCACCGCCAGATAGTGTTGTTTGACGTCATATCTTTATACTCTAGATGGCTAGCAGGTGGGTCACCTCTTATGTGTCCTTATCTGTCGTAGCGAGTGATGTGTCAGTTTGGCTATATACAGGTCATTCTGAGATCTCTCTATAAGGTCGCTCGTCTCGACGTCCGCCGCAGATACCTACAAGATATAATGGATAATTTTCAGAGTCACCTGGTACCAGATGAGTATCGTCGGGAGCCAGTTCATGTACATTGGGTTTGTGTTGAGGGATACATGACATGGTTCAATAGGGTGTCACACCTCATGATGACGTCATACGCTCTAGGAGAACCACCTAAACCAGCTAACCTGGAGGTACTTGAGGTTCGGGATGAGCAGACAGAGTGTAACAGTGGTATGTCGCCATGTTGAGTAGATGGATATATGAACCATAGAGACAGAACTCTTTGAGGGTGATTCTCCCTAGTTGATCCTCCTGCAGACCATAGTTATCGAGTTACGGGATGTTATGCGATACAGGCGGCGGAGGAGGCATGTTGTTTGACATAACCAATAGTTTACATTGGGATATATTATTTTTTTGATATTCTCTTATGTATTTACGAACTCCTATTATGTATGAATTGTCTTGATTGTTTTTTTAATTAATATGTGAATTTTTACTCTTCTTTAACTTTTAAATTTACTTTGATTTTGCATTAATATAAGTTAATGAGAATCCAACTTAATATTATGTTGTGTGTGTATCGTTCACCCGACCAACACCTTTGCTGTTCAACTTCTTGAGTCTTCTTCTTTCACTGAGCCATCAAACTCTCCGTATGCCAGTGTTGCATAAAGAAAATTACTTGACAACCATCTTGACCATGAGCCATATAAGGTTATAGAACTTAGAACAATTGAGACATATAAGGTTGCATAGAGTTTAGAGCTCTCTAGAGTATATGTCGATGAGGTATTTTAACGAAAGAAAGTAATCTTTCAAGATAATTTAAAATGATTTGGTCAACATCAATTGTTTAAATTTAAAAAAAAATATTAAAACAATGAGAATTTATGAAATATTTTTGTCCAACTAAAATTTAAAGAATTTAAAATGACATCTAAAAACAAAAAATTTGAAATTACTCTCCTATATAATGTCAAATTAATTATTATTGTTTTTTTAGTTTTACAAATTTATCCTATATTTTACAATTTTCAAATTGATCCCTAAATTTTTTTTTTTTAAATAAATTCAAATTTGACCTTATTAAATTTTTTTAATATTATATATTAGTCCATATTTCTCCAATTTCAAATTTTATCGAAAAGACCCAAAAATTAAAAATAAACAAAATTCAATTTGAATTACCTAAAATTTAAAATTTTGGTAAAATTTTAAATTAGTCCATCCAAACCCTTTGGAAATTTCCTAACACCATATAACATTTTAACACACCACGTGAATTTCTAAAAATATCCTCAAATTCGTTTTTGAGATTTGTCTCCATTGTATGATTAACTTTATTTTGAAAATGCACTTCTATAATATTTTCGATAAGACGTGAAGACATTAAAATTGAAAAACCAAACTGCCTCAATCATATAATCCATATTTCTTTTCTCCTAAACAGCAAGAAAAATTATAATAAATGAAGCTTTACTCTTTACCAGTGGACCTGCAACTTCGTCAGCTTTATCCTTTCCAAGTATCTGCTCAAGTAATGCAACGACTGGTACCAGATGCACGACCGGTCACAACTATGCCATCCAGCTGAACCCTTGACTCAATAAAACGGTGTAGGGTGCCAATTTTTCATATTCATAATATAAATGTCTTCTACATTAGAACTTTAGAAAACAAAATGAACCATCCAAAAGAAATCACTTATTGTCTCTGTGCTTGTGTTCTTTTGTAGCAGTTTGTTTTTCAGTCTTAATGTCGTAACGAAAAAATCACTTATTGTCTGTGCTTGTTCTTTTGTAGCAGTTTGTTTTTCAGTTTTAATGTCCTAACGAAAATACATTTTTAGAAACATTCGGATTTCAAAAACAAATGAATTATTTTTACGAGGATGCACCCCAAAAATGTACTTTGAAATTTTGTAAGATCTTTTTCAGATACATCGGGTGGAATTAGAAATTCCCAAAGAGTGTTATTGTGGTCCGGCAAATTTAGGCCATGAACTTTGTATCTTTGGACTATTTGAACCAATGAAACTCCTCTTGAAAGAAAATCAAGTTGTTTGAATAACTCAGTTTCTGCTAAAGATGAAGAAGGTACTAAGAATCTGTAGTTTGTGTCTCTAAAAGCCTTCAATCAATGCTTTGACAGTTAATTTTCTTGCTTTTCTTAGACGGTTGGCAAAGCTTTGATAAGATTTATTCTACTACCGTTCCAGGACTTCTGTACAACATCTTGATACGGATCATGGGCAATACAAGAAGCTTTAAAACAAAACGATAAAGATTAAATTTTACTAGCTTCAGGAAAGCCTTACAATCTAAGAGGTGGGTTTCCAAGATAGTGATAGTACAATTGATACCATATTCTTATGACTGGAAAACTGATATAGGGAAGTAACCAAGCACCATCTCTTTGAGCATTTTTGTTACAACAGTGTATTTATATCACGCATGATCAACTATTGTAGGATCTCCCAAGCGTAAAACTGTATCACTTGTAGTGCACCAACCTGTACATTGGCTCAGGTTTCCTAGAAACCTTTTTCCTTCAGCAAAATGAATAAAGATAGAAACTTCGTTCACTGACTACATAAAAGCAAGCCACCAAAACACTGGAAGTTATTAATCCTCTCCATGGCCTGTTAACTATAAGACCCATGCATCCTAAATGTTCATAGGCAGTTTCAGATAATCTAAAATTACAAATCTGAAATTTTATAGTCATCACTGAGATGCATGTTCACCTACCTGTAATGGAAAGATTTACTCAGTTCAGTTTTAACGGACAAGATGAGAAGACAGCAAAAATTCCTTGAATTAAACTTTTTTTCCTTCATTTCATTTCATTTTGTATGAAGACTAAATGTGTCCTACAACCAAATGAATTACAAATCAATGGTTAAAAAAAACTAACTGTACACAACAATGACAGAAAAAGCAGACCAGAGAATTATGCTTTAGACTAATAATTTACAGACTCCCCACGCTAAAAGAGGCAGGCAGTTCTGAATGATGAACCACAAAGGTTTGACCAGTATGGCAGTCTTTAGCAAAAGCAAGCAAAATTTTACTGGTCCCACATGGCCTGGAATATTGCAGGTCTGTGCTTCAACCAGTGAACCATCTCTCTATCCAGTGGAGTGTTGTTAATTACAGCGTCTAGCATTGGGCTACCAAAAAATTTAGGACTATTTTTGAATGACCAGATCTGGTCTTTGGGCCAAGGTCTCTGGGGATGCTTCTCCTGGATAAAAAAAGAAAAAGTATGTTTAATCATCAGTAACAAAGAACCCAGAAGCATGCAATAGCCTGACAGGTAACAGTTAGTATTACTAACTAAATCACAGAAACTTAAACTACCACAAATTAAACAGCATGATCATCACAAACTAAATACCATGATCACAGACAGGTAGCACTTTCCTACATTTTATTTACAGCTGCAATGGTAACATAAAGGAAAAATAAATCTGAAATGCTTGAATAACATTTAATCCAGAAACACTAATAACAGTTGGCTTCTTCTTGATTACCAAATTTGGCCACAACCAACTGCTAAAAATTAGTCTGCAAAGTAACTACCATGTTTCAGAGCTCAATTAATTCCAACTAGATGGGGATGTCTTCACACAACAGTTGGCATTGCTGTTGCGTGAACAAAAGACCCAATCGTGAAATTACACAATCGTGAAATGACACTTTAGTAAATATGAAGTAAATCTGCCTATGAATCCAGATTTGAATCTCGTATTGTGACAGCTATGTAATAGTGATTTTCCCTTTCAACTAACTCCAACTAAGATTTAAAATTATGTAATTACCAAACAGAAAATGAATTCATACTGATAAGCTAGATATGCAATATAAGTACACAAATATGCATGAAGAAAACTAACCATTCTTGCCAACATGGATCTGACAGTCTTTGGACCATAAACACGTTGCCGTGAAGGCTTATGAGCCTTAGCATAAAAGGAACTGATGTCTGGCAATGACAAGCTGCCTTTGCTAGCTCTAGCCAGAGTACAATCAGGCTCCCCATCACTCTGATTATGCCAAAATATCAGTTGCCCTAAACAATAATTTTGACCATATATCTTCCGATACTCCTGAAATCCTGCTCCCAACTTGTCAGCATACTTAGGACCTAAGTCAAGTGGACTAATATAGACAGGTGGTGAAGTAGTAGTTTTATAATCCTGCACACACAAATAACTACAATTCAAACTAAAACTTTTTTAAACAAAAACTGGAAGTGCAAAAGCACCATTATGAAAAACTGACATCAACAATACAAGAACATACCACTACTTTAAAGAAGTACTTGGTATAAGCATAAATATGAATTAAGTCAGCAGCAGCATCATGCCGACATTTGTATGTACAAGGAAGATTTCGAACCTCGTCTCTCAACCTTCAAAAAGAGGATAAGTAACATAAGGTAAAGATGGCACGTTCAACCAGGATAAAATATACACAAGTTAGGAGTGCAAGTACTTACCACAACAGAGATTTCTGAATAGCTTTCGGAATATCTTTAGAATTCAGAGGATCGCGAGCACGAGTTTTGGACTTGAGATCATTCAAGGTAGACTCTTCCACGTGAGGAGTCAGGCATTGAAGAAGCTCCTCAACGAATGAATCCTCTCCTTTCCAGAGGAGAGGAACAACTTCTTCAGGACTGAGCTTCTCAATAGGAGGTGGAGCTTTCATTGGATCACCAAAAACACATCTCATAACATACCTTACCTGTAATGTAACTCGAAGGTTAAAATAATGTTCAAACAGGAAACAAAGTTTACCTGCAAATTACAGCTACACACTGAGATCTGAAAGTACAGAGCAAATATTACACCATCCACTTCACATTGCAGCAAAAGAGTGTAGTTACATAGAATAAAATGCTACCTAGAATAAAAGATCTAAAATTGTTGACCATCTATAGAATGCAGTGTCATGCAACTTATCTTAAAAAAGCATTGGCCCAGTGGTACTTGTTAGCAGTGATCCTGACACTAAAAACACTATTTGCCAATTACCATCACTTTTTTAGGATAATATTTTAAATGCAAAGCCCTTACCTTCATTCAAAAATAAAATATTAAAGCTGGAAAATACATAGCAAACTGGGAAGTACATTCACCTTATCAAGTGTGACAGCAAGATTCTGAAGCCTCTGGTTGTATACACCCTCAGCCTGAGTCATAAAGAGACATAGGAAAGGAAATAAGTATTCTTTAAACTAGTCTTCTGTTGATAATAAAGTACAGGTAGAGAAACAAAGAGCACACCTGAACCTCTGCGTCACTCCTCTCAACTTCAAGACATATATCTGAAAAATATTTTCTTTTTTCTTCCAAATTATGCTTTAGAATTGCCTCAGGAAGTTTCGTTCTTTCAAAATTAATAAATCTCACCTACCAGCACAATGTTTCAGAAAAAAAATTAAGAATAAAAGAAGAAAGTAAAAAACATCAACCCAACACAGAGGAAGCAAGGTACATACAAGGCGAGCCGCATAAGCAACTAGCCAATCTGGCAAGCCTCCAAGCAAACAATTGCCTAAACCAGCTCTTCCCAAGTCATTATAGTCCTCTTCAGAAACAGAGTTTAATTCACAGGCTTCTAGCATCAAATAATGACAGTCAAGAATTCCATGCCACTCTTTCAGTACCTGAATGGACCAAAAGTACTCCAGTCAGCATCTAAAATGATCAGTTAAAATAAATTACAATAAAAACAGGACTACTCCACTTATTACAATATAGATGAGAACAAAAGCCACATGGTAAGCATGCTGAGACATTATAAAGTATAGAAGGAGAAAAATAAGACTAGAAACTAAATACTCAAAAATTGATATTTACTTTATATGATGTGTTTTCACTTGTGATGTTAAATAAGAGAAAGAACTAATCCTTTTTTATGTTAATACTAACTAGAAACGTTTTCAAACATCTAATATTTTAAATCACTCTGATACAATCAAGATATTGTGACATGTCATACACTCGATATATGTCACGAGATATTTATGCTAATGACCTGTAAGTCCACATTTCAGAATATGGCATTCATTTGGTTGTTATAATACAACAACTAAGTCTTATTTCACTAAGTGGGGTCGGCTACATGAATCAACTTTTGCTATAATATTCTATCAAGGACCATGCTTCTTTCCAAATCATTTATCTCGAGATCTTTCTTAATAACTTCTATTATAGTTTTTCTAGGTCTTCCTCTTCCTCTTCCATTAATTGATTATAATGCAAAAAATTATTTCTTTTAATTTATCCTAGCCATGTCTTGTTCAGAAGTTCTAGAAATGTGTGTTGTCCTTACGTTGGACTATCTGCTGTGGTATCTACACTTCCTAGTCGTATAATTTATTTATCATTTGTAATCATAATGGTATGAAAACAAATAAAAGGACAGCTAATGCAGCTAGAATTATCCAATTGAGTCGAATGAGTGCCGGCATCGATAGGGAGTCTATTTTGACACGTGCATTTTTAATTTTCTACTTCTATATTTTATCAGTACTTTAAAGTAAAAGATTTTGTTAAACCTTTTGGAAAGCCCCTTCACCAGTCAGATTTAGATAGCTTCCACGGCAAACTTGGCTTCCACATAAACACACTGATGCTTCATATTCCTCCTTGCTCTGCAGTGAGATGAAACAGGTATTCGTTAGAAAAAGATGTAAAGGGGATACAATTTCCTTTAAGAATGCAAAAGCTTGGCAAGCAACTGGACAAACCTCTGTAACAGAGTTGTAATCAAAAGTGATCTCCTCGCCATGTTGAATTTTACGAACACTATATATACCGATTTGATAATGACCGCCAACAGCAGTAACTCTGAAAACATAAGAGAATAAGATAATGTCTAATTACAAAAATCATATCCCATTCAAGTAAGTTCAAAGAATTAGTTAATTACACCCATTTATTATAATCATCTGCTTTTAAATAACACTCCAAAGACACTCTCAATAATTAAAGACTAAAATATGGGGGGTTTTGAGTTGATCCCAGACTCGATGCTTAATTCGTCAACAGGGGGGACATATGACAATACAGCATAAAAGAACCAAGATGCATGGGGCAGGAGATTTTTTATTAGCACCAATGTAGAGAGTAATTTCAAGAACAGGAAAGAGGGATTTGGAAGGGAGGAGGAGTGAATAATTAGGGGTTTAAACTTTACGGCCTTCTTGAGATACAGGAAGATCATTAAGTTAAAGGCATAGAATTAAGAATTTTGACTGCATGGATAGACACGAAGAAGAAAGAGATTTCCAAAAGAGGGATTTGGAGAGGAGGTGGAACTTTAAGGAATGAAAGATGAGGTGAGAGAATTTTAATGGTATTAAAAAGGTGCAATACAGCCTGTTTGGTTAAGCTTTTTGGCTTTTCCAACGGAAATGACAAAATTTTACAGTTTCAATGCAAGTATGACCAAAGCTTGTGAGGAGCAACTCCAGTCAAAAACGATTCTTGACCAAGCATATAAAGCCTACTCAAACAGGCTGACAATATTTAAAGGAAGCTAGGGGTGGACCCACACTTTGCAAAAACCCGTGCTTCCCAACAACAGATATTATGTTGTGTACAGCAAAAACCATCACAATTGAAGTATGTAATGGGTGCAGAGAATCTTTTAAGCATGTGAATTTCCCAAATATACAAGCTATGCACTGAAAAAGTTAACTGTTTAAAAATAAACAGGACCAACATCAAGTTCTTAACAAGTCAACAAACATATTGGAAACAACTATAGAAGACAAATGAACTTACTTTGCTTCACAATTAGGTCGGCATGAATGACATATTCG